AACCAAGTTATCACACAAATGCAGTTCCCAGAAATTTCCTTGGCTGTCAGCACCTCAAGGAGATTGACTTGATTTCTCAGTAAATCCTTCAACATTCTTAGATCCTCCAGCAGAATTTATTCCCTAAATTATTCCCCATTCCTTAACTGGCAGGGAGGAGGGAGAACTGGGATTTGGTTATCACTGGTTGTGTGATAACTACGTGATGAGGAGCCAGTATTAGGACCTGGGTTTGGTTCTGGAAACAGGAATTTAAAGGATTTAATCCTGAATTTTAAGGATTTAAAGGGTTGCAATTAAATTTTAAAATTTTCAGGATTTAAATTATTTAAGGGTAAAGGGGCAATATAAAAAAAAAAGGCACTCAGTGGAAGAGCCCCACCAAGAGTTGGGCCTCTCATCTCCAGGAACACTTTTTACACAACTTGAGCTCCAAATTCTCTTGGTTTACACCCTATTTTGTGCATTTGCTTCCCTCTCCACTCACACAACCCCTTCCTACAGCAGGAAGTTGCTGTTTCTACCCAGTGGGATGAAATGAAAAGGGAAAAAAAAATAAGTGAAGGAGAAAAATCTTGACTCCCAGCTCCAGTCCTGCAGCAAAGGGAATCAACACAGAGGATTTTCAGCCATTCAGCAGTTCCTCCACTGCCCCTCCAACACCTTAAAAGCTTTGGTGTGTCACACCATGCCCTCAGAGCTTCACTAAGAAATTCCACATCAGTAGAACAAAAGATTTTTCTTCAGGTTAAAGAAAAAAAAAAAATAAATATTCAGGCCAGGTTGGGAAAAAAAAAAAAAGAAGTCAAAGTTTACCATTTATTTAACAGGCAAACACTGGTTTCACGTGGAATACATTGGAAAAGGTTAGTGCTGAATGTTCTTGGCACTGAAAGACGACAGGAGAATAAAAATGGGGAAGAGGTCCTGAGGTTTAACCCAACACTTTTCTTATGCAAGACACAGGAGCATTTCAATGGATCTGGATGGTGTTGAGCTGTTAATTAATGGGCAGGAGGAAGAGCCACCCCTTCCCAAGCATGGCACTAATGATGGTGCTAATTAACATCAGTGACAGTGGTCACTTATGGTCAAAGTGGATTCAGGTTATTAATAAATTCATTGCCAATTAGGGTAAACTCTGAACCTGTTCTCAAGGTGAAACACTCATTGCACTGTGAATTTTTGGCATCTATTCCATAGAATTCAAGCTGGGTGTGAGTCTCTTAACATCAAATCTCTCCCATTATTCATGTGTGACATCTTAATTGTACAGATGGAGATGAAATCCTTGTGGTTTACATTAAATATGGTTTGATTATAAACGTTAAATGGTCGATATTATATGTTAAAAATGAAAGGTAGATGTGAGGCTGCATCTCAGAGTTTAAGTCTTTTGGTGCTGTTTGTTTATGTACAGCAGGAGCTGCATAAAAAGGAAGGATTGAGGCAATGTGAATATTCCAGAATCGAAGCAGGAAGAACATGACTCCAGTTTCCAGTGCAGGAATCTTGTCCTGGTTGGATGCAGCTCTTACTCTTTGTTCACAACAACGTAAATCAAATGAGAAATCGGCCCAGCAGGTTTAGGAACAACAGAGTTTTTGGAGAAAGCACAGAAAAGGGACAGAAAAGGGAGCTGGGGGGGCTCAGCCTGGAGAAAAGGAGGCTCAGGGGGGACCTTCTGGCTCTGCA